GCTAACATACGTATGTATATATATATAACTAAATGTTCATAGAGTGGCGAATAATTTCACAATAACAAAATGACTTACTTGCATAGATATCGGTAAAGTAGTACAATCGGTGCTCCGTTTGAGAGGCCTCCAAAACGTAGTGGTTGCTGGTGTAATATCTTAATTTTTGTGCTTGTTTCGTTCTCGCGGGCTAATAGATCTCAGTAAATTTGTTATCATGAAATATATCTTAAGCCACTTCAACAACTTTGCGATAGCTTGTCCAAAAATTATATAAAAAAAATTGTTTCCTCTTTTGTTTCCACTAAAACAAAATTTCTAGCAACTGGTCACTCTAGTTTCATTATCGGTCTTAAATTACTCTCTCTACTTTGAGCATATACATGATACATGTACATACACTCGTAAGTAAATCTGTAAATATGTAAGCACCCATAAACTAACAAACAAACTGCTTTGCTGCTTTGATCACTTGATTTTAACTACACGTGCTGATTCTTATTGGAGAATTAAACATTTGATAAGAACGAAAGCACTAGGTATTAAAGTGACCATTATGCAAAAATTAAAACTAGTTGTTATCGAGAAAATTAAGTTCTTAGCCGGTCCAGCCACAATGGGATACCACATGAGGCGTGCAGTTGGGGCTCTCGCAGATGTTGCAGTTGACATTCACTCAATGGAAAAGGTTAATTGAAGGTCATAGGCCTGGGGCTTCGTATTCCTCTTGAATGATAGGTGTTGGGATTGTACGCCCTTGCCTTTTTTCCGCGACTACGGGTACACCCTGCGAGCAAATATAACACAAGAATGTATGTATGTCGGAATCTATTAATAAAGCGTTTGATAAAGAGGATTCTTACCGGTTGGTTAGTTAGGTTGAATTGTAGGTCCGAAGGTTACGTGACCTTAGTGGGCAAGAAAAGGCACATAGGAATATTCCGTGCCGGCAAAGCGAGTTTATTACAAAAAATATATATATATTTCAATTCCTGCTAGGATTAACAATAAAACTTTTGTTACACTTTACTAGCTTTTAAACTTCCGGATTAATTAATAAGACAGGGATCGACCATTAATACGTGTTAACTTTGCAGCTGCCCAAGTGAAAAAGGCTGACAAAGCAGAGCGGAAGTCTAGGGTCACTTTGATATACGTGACTGATTGGGGTTAACATCCCTAGAGCAACAACGAAAATAGTACCACTGTTTAAAGCTGTGTTTAGCAAGCATATGCGTGCAGCTGATTGATTGGTGGAAAGAACTTCTAATTGCTTCCGATATATAAGCAAGATTCGTATCCCATAAAGTTTGATCCGACTTAAGATACGCTCGAATTCCTTGCAATATGGAACGATTGACGCGTTCACTGGCGTTCGCCTGGGGGCTGTATAATAAGTTATTGAACTGAGTAGACTTAAACTGCTTACCATTGTCGCTCATGATAATCTCAGGGGTGCCAAAAATACTAAAAACGCTATCAGTAAGAAAATCGCAAATCGGTCCACTAGTAAATTTTTTTAGCACGATTAAGATTCCAATATTTCCTTTCTTAGATCTTGGGTAAGGTCCTAGCAAATCAATATATAGTTTTTGGAACGGGCGCTGAACCGTGTATTGTGACGTCATGGGAGGACGAAGTGATGTGTTTGGAGCTTTACTCTGTCGGCAAACGTCGCATTTAGATATGAAATCCTTAACGTCCAATGTGATGTTAGGCCAAAAGAAATTGGGACGTAAACGCTCCAATGTTTTTGCTACCGCACCATGACACTTGTTCGGAGCACAGTGAGCATTTTTAATAACATCGAGGACTAACGACTTTAGGACCCACAATTTCCAGTTGATAGCTTCCCGCTCAGCATTACCATCTGGAAATTCAGTACGTTTATAAACGTGTTCATCTACAATTCGTAGGTCAGGCAGCCGCGACTCATTATCGCGGACATACTTTTTCAGCTTTATGTATTCGTCGGACTCAAATTCGGACGAGTAAATCGATAAGCGGACGGACTTCTAATTCCTTTAGTGCATTTATTTCAACAAAATCCTCGAAGTTCTGGCGCGAAAGGCAGTCAGGGACCACGTTTTGCGATCCCATCCTATGTTCAATTTTGAGCCTGAGTCCCTGCAGCTTCAGTGACCAGCGAGCTAAACGACCAGCTAAGTCCGTTTGGCGCATCAACCATTGTAAGTTAGCGTGGTCGGTTACCATGGTGAAGTCCTGCCCCTCTACATACGCTCTGAATTTCTTAAGGCTCAAAATCGCAGCCAAGCACTCCAGCTCTGTCACGCTGTAATTACTTTGAGCCTTATTTAATTTCTGTGAAAAATATGCAATAGGGACTTCGATGCCATCTCCGTTTTTCTGCGCCCGGACAGCACCAACACCAAGCTTACTCGCGTCACACTGAATAATGAATGGCTTTAAATAATTTGGATTGGCCAAAACTGGAGCTGAGCATAGTTTATCTTTCAGGGTCTTAAAAGCATTTAGAGCGCCTTCATTCCATTCAAATTTTGCACTTTTTCTAAGCAAATTTGTAAGAGGAGTTGTAAGGGCAGCAAAATTGTCGACAAACCTACGATACCACCCAGCCATACCTAAGAATCGTCTTAGCTATTTTACATTTGATGGCGTTGGGAAATTCACGACGGATGATATTTTTCAGGGTGCGTTCGTAAAGTACCATTTCCCACAATATATCCCAAGTATTTAACTTCTCGTAAGCAAAATTTGCTCTTCTTCACATTTATTGTCAAACCGGCTTTCCTTAGGTGATCTGCAACTTCGGACAACACTTTGACATGAGTATTAAAATCTTCAGACACTACTAAAATATCGTCAAGATAAACGAATACTTGATCTTTGAGACTTGGTGATATAATTCGATCCATTAACCTACAAAGGGCTTGCGGTGCGTTGCAGACGCCAGATGGCATGACGCGATAGCGATACAGCGGACGATTCGGGATGGTGAAACATGTATAGTCTCTTGAACTTTCGGCTAATGGAATTTGCCAGAAAGCTCGACGAAGATCGAGAGAGCTAATGAATTCGGCTTTTGGCAATCTACTGAGGATGCCCTCGATATGTGGCAGCGGATACGCATCTGGTAAGACTATTGACTTTCCTGGAGTCTAGACACAGACGGACTTTGTTGGACTTATTGACTAGGACAACCGGACTGGACCACGGACTGTTAGACGATTCTTCGATCACTCCTAACCTCAGCATCTCGTCGATTTCAGCGTGGACAAGCTTTTCTACAGCAGGCGATATGGGGAAATATCGCTGCTTAATCGGACGTGCATTCGGTTCGAGCTCGATTTCATGCTCCATTAGAAAGGTTTTTCCTAAACCCTCTTTCTTTTTTTAACTCGGAAAACAATTAATAACACAATTAAGTTGTCGCTCTTGTTGATTAAACAAGGGAACGGTATTTTCATCTATAAGCGTTCCATTGAACACGCAGCTAACTTCTGAAATTACATTTGGAGCAATTTTAAATTTCATCCGAAAGTCCACTCCCAGAATTACCTTTTGAGTGATGCTCGGAATAATAAAAAAATTAATTTTTTCACTTTTGTCGTCGAATTTGACATCCAGTTCGATATTACCAAATACAACTTGCGATTGCCCATCGGCTGTGCATATGGACACCTTGTGTTGCCGGAGTTGCTTCTTCTTACATACTTCCCTGGCCAACGAGCCCCCTATACAAGAAATTTGTGCGCCACTATCGAGAAGGCCTAAATACTTCTCATCAAACATTTCTACTTCTGCATACGGTCTGATATCTTTCGACTTCTGATGGAGTGAAGATAGAAATTTGCTTAAATTTTTCCTAGTAGCTTTCACATTTTGCCAAAACTTCTTTAAGCGAACTGTCGAACGATTAGTAGGAATCTCAGAACTGTCTTTCTCATTTTTAAAAATTTTGGAGCGTATTTTGCAGTAATTTTGTATTCGGACGTCGTAAGGTACTATGTTTGTTAAAGTCCGATTTGCTTCTAGGTTGGGTACATCACGACGGATGAGCAACTTGTTTATGCTTTCTTGTTTTGGTCGTAGCGAGGATTCGGATTGGAAACCTCGCTCTTCTTCAAGTTTTCCGACTTGATAATGAGGCAGTTAGGCTTATACACCCCTGGAGAACCACATCCATAAGAAAACAATGTTCTCTCCGCCAGACAATCGAAAAATCTATGACCTTCCGAGTGACAGTTCCAACACACTAGCTTTGTGCCATTTGTGTGCTTAAAAATCTCGTAAATTTCACCTACTTCTTCTACATTGTTGATTGTATCATTCTCAGTAGAACATAACTCGTTTGTAAAGCGTCGTTGCATCTGGCGCGGGTTTTGAGTAGTTATTGGTAATGCATTCGATTTAGAAATGTCATTCAAAAGATTTTCGCCTTTTAGGCATAATCTGCGCAATTCTGCGAGTGAACTTACGGATACGTATAGTAACTGTTGTCGAATACGAGGACGCAAATTTATTTGCAGAATTTCAATAAGCTCTAATTCAGGTAAAGGTACCTGCAAGGCCTCAGCCAATTTTAAAATTGCATTCCGGAAGTCATCAAAGCCTTCGTTTGGACCCTGTTTCCTAGCACGAATTAGCTCTTTAATTTCTGTACTTCTAGGTTGGGTACATCATTTCTGTGTCACTCTTGTGGTCTTGGAAGTTTGTCTTAAGCGCTTGGCATAGAGTTGGCCAAGTCGCGCGCTCAACAGAATGCCTGTAACGCCAATACCAATCCTTTGCTTCATTTACAAAGAGACTTTGGACATGTTCGCATAGCACATTAAAGTATCCTCCCAGGGTGTCAATCACCTGTGAATCAATTCGATAAAGAAAATTATCCACAGATAATTTCGGAGTACCATCAAATTTAATGTCCCAACTGGCAATAAGTTGAGCAATCCTGCCTGAGTTAGGAACACTTGAAATATCACTGAATCGGAGCTGATCTATCTGCCTATTAAAGTTATCTACGTTATTGGAGTTATCTCGAGTCCAAAGAGGCGTCGAAGGGACGGAATTTCGATTTGACTAGCGTTTACTGTAATTGGGGGTGGTGGCACTGTAGCCAGGGGTGCACTGTTCCGAACAACATTTAAGTTTAATCTGCCTAACACATTAGTTAACGAATCTTCACGCTTTTGCTCAATTAATCTAGCAATTCGATCGTCTAAATTTTCAAACATCGCTGCCTGCCTAGCGGAGTTTACAGCCCCAACAATGTTATGTAAGCGGGCTTCTTCGCCGTCGTTAATAGCATTAGCGCTAACGGCTTGTTTTTCCAAAGGCGGGCCTACAGCTCCTTGAAGGTCCAAAGTATCAAGTTGAGAGTTTGAAAAGGGTTGCACATTCGTGTTCGCGTTGTGACTATTGGCGATAGGGGGTGGATGTGGGCGTGATCGAAGGCCAGTACGAGAGAATTCTCTACTGTTGCTCCTAGCTCTACACTGAGGACAAGTAGAATTGCGCTTCAACCAATCTAACAGACAAGTGCGGTGGAATATGTGGGCGGAAGCTGTCGTTAAGATATCATCGCCCTCCGAAAGACTGTCACGGCATATCGTGCAAACGTTTACTTGCACCGGCAGGTTTTCATTACCATGATGCGACATTACTTACGGCAATAAAAGAACAGTTATATAAAAAAATAAGTAGATGTAAGATTTTCTTATCTGCAAAAAAACACAAAATCTAATATTTTAACCCTCAAAACCACAACCTCTGTCGAAACGATAAAGCAAACAAAAATCCAAAATACAAAAAAAAAAAATTGTTATATGTTATAAATTTTTTCTTACTCCTTATGTGTCTGGTTGGCGGTAAAATAATTTGGCAAGTTTGGTAAAGGCATTATGGTTAAAGGATAAGGACTTTAGAAAAAAAAACGCGCCATGGTTATATGCAAATCATATAAAATTCCAAAGGCTCATCACGGATTAATGGAAAAGAATCAAAAAAATAATTAATGTTTGTATTTCACCTGCAAAGAACTAAAGACTACTTGACGTTATGGGGGGCGGATGAGAACACCTTCGGTCAGTAACCTAGCATAAAGCTTGAGCGCTTAAGTCCAGAAAGCTAGTTACCCCATGACACAACTTTCAAGTCCTAAGGCGTTAGGTCGAGTTACCCTCCGGTCAGTGGTCACTTCCGTCAAGCATATATATAACCTTATGGAAGATTGTTTCCAATGCTGACACTGATTCAACCCTAACAAAAATATTAAACCGGTTTAAAATAATAAAATAAAGTAAAAAATGTATTACTGAATAAATATCTGGTCAGATACCATAGCATAAAGCTTATGAGTACTAATTTCCCACAATATCATTACACGTATTAAAAGTACCCAGACCGACAACAAACTAGTCCCTACCTGGAAAGGAAAATCGAGGCACACGAATCATTACCCGAAAGCATTGAAAAATACTAAACGATCAAAACGTAGCCTCTAAGACGACGAAAAGAAAAAAAAAAACAAAACGAAATAAAAGAAAATTGCACACTGAGACTGAAATACGTAAAGAAAAGTCCCTGCTCTAAACTCCATATGCCTATCACCAGAACCTGTGTAGCAGCATTGATAAATTTTTTTATTTGTTTTTTTTTTTGTGGCTGCTTCCTTTCCCACCCAGCCATGGCTGGATAAAGCCCCAAAAGCAGGATGCCTAGTAACTTCAATTAGAAGACAGACATAATCCGGCCAGACCCAACCACATAAGTTTCAGACAAAAGGAATTAGTTATAATTTACAAATTCATTATACAACTTTTATTACTTTCTTACAACCTAGTACAATTAAATTTGTACCAAAATATCTCTGATATACTACCTCTTCAATTTTACTTATTGCCTTCTTTTCTATATTCGTTTATTGTTAATTAAAGTATTCAAATCAATAAGGGCCGGTTGTTCAATGTCTGGTTATCACTACATGCCAGTGAGACAACATTATCGACGATTTCGACATCATGCGTATAACATGTGATCGATAAAGCAGTCGTTGTATCTAACCGGAGCTTCTACCTCCGATTTGTGCTAATCAGACATTGAACAACCGGTCCTAAATCTCTTTTGTATAACCTACACTCTATTATTTAAATTACTAAGCAATGGCAAGCCTATATGCCTTAGAAGATGAGGAAAAAAAAACTATATTACACGCGTAGATATGTAAGTAAATATATGGAAGTGTATAAACAAGGTGTCCCAGAAGTAACGTGCCACACTTTAGGGGAAGGTAGGTGGGGGGTGAGCTCACTGATAAACAAAAAATTTCAGGTAAAAGTGTCACCGTTTTTGAAATATTTACATTTTTTCGAATTTAAAAAAAATCGAGCCTTTTCATGTGTTTTCTTTAACAGCAAATACAAACCGGGCAATACTTAGTAAATTTTTTATGTAAAATACTTCCAGATAGTTGCCTCTCCATACTCAAATGCAATGTAGTTAAAATATATTAAGGAACCATCATAAAATTAGGACTATTTCTGGATTTTTAACTTTTTGATATTTTCTTCCCCAACTTTGACTATCTCGGGTGAAAAAAAAATGTACTGAGCTATAACTTTACATTACATAAAAAAATTGCTCATTTAATAAAGATTTCAGAAAGGTGCCACACTTACTGTTTTGAATAGAAAAAAAAAGTTATAGCCGCTTTTGTGGGTAAAGGACTGAGACACGCTAGAATGTATTTAATAGATTTAAATTGAATTTGCTCTTGTTACCGTCAAATGACATGCTAAATAGTACAAAGGTACATAATTACTTGCTCCTGACATTATTTTATGTTACTTACCGGAATTCGGACTAGAGTCTATAACAAGGGCTATATCTATCAATATTTTGTGTGAAGGATGGGTTCACGTGAAATAAGATATACATGAGTTGTTTGAAGAAAAATTTATTCATTTATTGATAAAATATGCTCAAATTGGCGACCTTCTACTCTAATACAAGCTCGGCACCTTTTAAGAAAAGACGCTTTTAGAGATCTTAAACTCAATTGGGCTATCTCAGCAGCAGCTCCATTTATTTGTTCCCGCAAATGCTCTTCGTTTTGAATTGTTTTTGAATAAATTTTGTCCTTAAGACAGCCCCAGTAGAAAAAATCTAATGGATTCAGGTCTGGCGATCTAGCGGGCCACGTGATTGGCCCGTATCGTCCAATCCATCGGCGAGGATAAGTTTCGTCTAAATGAGCTCTTACTTCACGCCCGTAGTGAGCAGGGCACCCGTCATTTTGCAGCCATAGTCTTCGCCGCAGGTTTAAGGGTACATCTTCCAAAAGAGTTGGAAGCCGTTCCTGAAGGAACTCTAAATAACTGTGAGAGTTGAGCGTTGGCGGCAGTTCCACAGGTCCCAATATCTGACAATTAAAAATACCGCACCATAAATTTATTTTGTACCGGTACTGCGAACAATCTTTTCTCATTTCGTGAGGATTGTCTATCTGCTAACTGTGAAGGTTGTGTAAATTAAAATAACCATCACGTTTGTATGATGATTCATCGCTCCAAATTATTCTATTAAAAAAGTTGGGGTCCGATGCATGCATTCGCAACATTTCACGGCAAAATCTAACCCTCGACAGGTAATCTCTTTCCTGTAGAGCCTGAACACGTTGAATGTGGTAGGGATGAAATCGATGGTCTTTTAAAGCTTTGTGAACTGTAGTTTTTGGTATTCCCGTCCGTCTTTCCATCATTCTCACTGAAGTCGATGGAGCTAGTTCCACTTCTCCTAACACAGCTTCAACATAGACCGTTGCAGGACGTCCTGTTTCGCCGCCACGCCTTCCAGGTATGCGACCTTAAAAAAGTGAAAAATTATAGTTAACAAGCAAGCAAACAAGAAAGGTGTAAAAATCACTTACCTTCATATATTTCTCTATGGGTCCGGGCGAATACTTCTCGACCCGGATGTCGACGATTGGGGTATCGCTCTGCATAGAGTCTTTGAGCAGCTCTGGCATTACAGCAAGCTTCACCGTAAATTAGGTGAATATCCGCATATTCATGCGACGTATACTGCGTGTTCTCTGTCATAGTATTAATAACACAATGTTCGAAGGGTCCAATTTCACAAAATCCACTTTCACTAATTCCGGTAAGTAACACAAAATAATGTCAGGAGTAGGTAATAATGTACCTTTGTACTATTTAGCATGTCATTTGACGGTAACAAGAGCAAATTCAATTAAAACCTATTAAATACATTCTAGCGTGTCTCAGTCCTTTACCCACAAAAGCAGCTATAACTTTTTTTTCCTATTCAAAACAGTAAGTGTGGCACCTTTCTGAAATGAGCAATTTTTTATGTAATGTAAAGTTATAGCTCAGTACGTTTTTTTTTTCAGCCGAGATAGTCAAAGTTGGGGAAGAAAATATCAAAAAGTTAAAAATCCAGAAATAGTCCTAATTTTATGATGGTTCCTTAATTTATTTTAACTACATTGCATTTGAGTATGGAGAGGCAACTATCTGGAAGTATTTTACATAAAAAATTTACTAAGTATTGCCCGGTTTGTATTTGCAGTTAAAGAAAACACATGAAAAGGTACGATTTTTTTTTAAATTCGAAAATATGTAAATATTTCAAAAACGGTGACAATTTTACCTGAACTTTTTTGTTTATCAGTGAGCTCACCCCCCCCACCTACCTTCCCCTAAAGTTTGGCACGTTACTTCTGGGACACCCTGTATATGTTTTCAAAAGTTGCCAAATTTTGTATAAAATAGTTAATCAATTTTAACAAAATTGTAATTAAAAGAAAGGTAATCGATTTTACCTTAGGTTAGATTAACTCAGCTGCCCTAATCCCTCAGGAAAAGGGCACACTTAGGCCACCAAGGGCCCGTTGTGATGCCGTATAAGAGACTCCATATGTCCCTCCTCTTACCCTAGTAGTGGAACCACTTCGTAGCTCTGATAAAGCGCACATAGTCATAGACATTGGCTGAATCCAGTTCGGCCAGACATTCAAAAGAATAATGGAGGAATAAGCATCGGCGAGCTCTCGCCAGAGCAGGACAGTTGCATAAGTACTGCTCCACGCTTTCGCAGTAGTCGTTTGACTGCAAACCCATTCTAGTGGCGTGGATTCCCATCAGGCAATGCCCGGTGAGAACTCCAATAACATGCCGCAACAGTGGTCGCTCCAAGTGGAGAAGAGGGCGAGATCTACGCTTGTCAAGCTTAGGCCAGATATGTCTTGCTATCCTGCAAGTAGGCTCCGCAGACCATCTTATATTAGCCCGTCCGACAAAGTTATTCTCAAGCCAGAGCTTGCAAGAAGATAGCGGAATGCCCGCATTACGGGCTGTACTGATTGCAGGCAACAAGGTTCCTTTCCTAGCTAGTTCATTTGTAGTACAGTTTCCTGGTATGTCTTTGTGGCCAGGCACCCACACAACATTAGTGACGTAACAACCTTGCCAGTTCATTAAGAGTACGTCTACATTCCATAACAACCTTCGACGTATATTTGTCACTATTAAGTGCTTTAATAGCCGCTTGGCTGTCAGGTAAGATTGTTACCGCCTTAAGATTAATTAGAGAATCGATCAGCCAACTTGCAGCTTCATTTATTGCTGTTAGTTCAGCCTGA